TCAGATAAATGAAAGCTCAGAAAATTTTTCAACAATAGGCCTGTCATTCAGACCTACAGGAGGGAATGAAAACACCAAAAATGGTAAATATATAAATGTTAAAACTTAGCTTTATTTCTACTAAATTTCCTTAAAAGACAAAAGACTCACACATATCTATATATATAGAGAGAGTGTTTTTGTTTGTCTGTTTTTCAAGGCTAGTCAAGTAAGGCAGCAGAAGTAGAGCAGGATGAAAGAAATTTACCTGAGCCAGGTATGGTGGCTTAGCCTGCAATCCCTGTACTCTGGGGGGCCGAGGCAGCAGTTCGCTTGAGCCCAGGAGTTTGAGACCAGCCTGGATGACATGGCAAAACCCCATCTCTACAACAAATACAAAACTTAGCTGGGCATACTGACTCGTGCCTGTACTTGGGCACTTGGGATGCTGAGGTGGAAGGGTCACTTAAGCTCAGAGAAGCTGCAGGTAGCCACAATCATGCCACTGCACTCCAGCCTGGGTGGTAGAGAGTGAAGACGAAATTTGTCTGAACATGAGCTGGTTGGTTTAAAATTAAAAAAATTAATATTAAAAAAGAAATCTGTAACTAGTTGTGTTCCTTTAGTAGTAAACACCAATGCACCTGGAACAGCTGCCTCATTAAACTATCACAAAATAAGTTCACTACAAGGTGCAATTTAAAGATCTATAGGGCTAAGCGCAATGGCTGATGCCTATAATCCCAGCACTTTGAGAAGCTGAAGCTGAAGCAGGACGATCGCTTGAGCCCAGGAATTTGAGACAAGCCTGGGCAACATAGCAAGATCTATTCTGTACAAAAAATAAAAAATTTAGTCAAACATGGTAGCATACACCTGTGGTCCAGGAGGCTGAGGCAGGAAGATTGCTTGAGCCCAGGAGGTCATGGCTGCAGTGAGCTATGGTCGCACCACTGCACTCCACTGTGGGCAACAAAGACTCTGCCTCAAAAAAAAAAAAAAAAAAAAGGAAAGGAAAGGAAAAAGAGGTTGGGCTTGGTGGCTCAGGCCTGTAATCCCAGAACTTTGGAAGGCTGAGGTAGGCAGATCATTTGAGATAAGGAGTTTGAGACCAGCCTGGCCAACAGCAAAACTCTACCTCTACTTTAAAAAAAAAAATTGCAAAAATTTAGCTAGGTGTGGTGGCACGCACCTGTAATCCTCAAGCTACCAAAGAGGTGCGGGAGGCAAAGGTGGCCATGTTCTTTGGGGCTACTGAACTGACAAATAAAAGGCAGAGATTTTCAGGAGCTTTGTGGCTGGTGAATGCAACTACGTCTGGGAGGTTGCAGTGCACCCCAACTCCTCCAGGACAGAACTTCCAGCACTCAAGACCCTTCCAAACCTTACCCTATGAATCCCTTCATCTGTACCTTTATGATATCCTTTAAAATAAACCAATGAACAACTGGTTCAGTGTGCTGAACTTTGCTAGCAGCTGAGAAAGGCAGCTGGAAAGAAGTAAGTTCCTGCTGCAAAGGTTGCAGCATAATTTAGGCCTTGAAGAAGCTATGGTTTTAATACTTTACAAGATGTGTTTTCTCAAAGCTGCCAGTTCTTTTAGAACTTATCAAATCGAAAAGGCTGGGCATGGTGGCTCACACCTATAATGCCAGCACTTTGGGAGACCGAGGCAAGCAGATCACCTGAGGTCGGGAGTTCAAGATCAGCCTGACCAATACAGAGAAGCCTCGTCTCAATTAAAAACACAAAAATTAGCTGGACATGGTAGTGCACACCTGTAGTCCCAGCTACTCAGCAGGCTGAGGCAGGAGAATCGCTTGAACCCGGGAGGCAGAGGTTGCAGTGAGCCAAGATTGTGCCATTGCACTCCACCTTGGGCAACAAGAGTGAAACTCCATCTCAAAAACAAACAAAAAACTAATCAAATTGAGGCTACTCCAACCAGCTTTACAGGGAATGGATTTAAGGCAAATCTTGTGTTTACAAAGATTGAGAGAAAGCCTGAAGAGGAAAGGGGACAGTTTGTGAAGAAAATGGGTGGTATTTTTGCCTTCGAGGTGAAGAATGAATGGCCCAGGGGGTAAAGAAGCCACCTAGTGGTGGATGTAAAGAACAGCAAAGGATCAGTGCTTTCTAACTCCTAAGAAAGCTGGCCAGATGCGGTGGCTCACGCCTGTAATCCCAGCACTTTGGGAAGCCAAGGTGGGCAGATCACGAGGGTCAAGAGATTGAGACCACCCAGGCCAACATGGTGAAACCCCGTCTCTACTAAAAAATACAAAAAATTAGCTGGGCGTGGTGGCACACGCCCGTAGTTCCAGCTACTCAGGAGGCTGAGGCAGGAGAATTGCTTGAACCCGGGAGGCAGAGGTTGCAGCATGCCGAGATCACGCCACTGCACTCCAGCCTGGTGCCTGGCGACAGAGCGAGACTTTGTCTCAAAAAAAAAAGAAAGAAAGAAAGCTGACCACACAACCACAAAGACTGACTAGGACTTACTGGCTTCAGCGACTAAACTGGTAAAGTGAATCCTCAGTTTGCCTTCTTTCAAGGCAGAGTGAAAATCACTGGCAACATGGGTCTGGTTATAAAGTCACAAAGTTTTCAGCTTCAGCCAGGCAAAGGTAAGCTATGAGGAACTCCTTTGGCTACTTTTGAAAATCAAGAAATCTCATCTCACAGACACATAGCTATATAATTTCATGGTCAGAAATTAGACTGAAACTACACATTGGCAAATAACATGAGATAGACTTGTTTTAAATGGTGTGACCAATCGGTTTTCCTAACCTCTAGGTGAATACAACCTCTGATGATAAACTACTGCTTTGCTAAATTGTATACAACTGTGCATTACATAGTATGTTATTTATGGCCTGGAGCAAAATTGAGTTTCAGAATAATATTAGGAACAGCAAAATCCAAAAAACTACATAAACAAAAGCTCCCATTTTGCTTATGAAGTACATTTACGGACCAAGCACAGTGGCTCATGCCTGTAATCCCAACATTTTGGGAGGGCGAGGCAAGAGGATCGCTTGAGTCCAGAAGTTCGAGACCAGCCTGGGCAACATAGTGAGACTTAGTCTCTACGAAAAAAAATTGTTTTAATTAGCCAGGCATGTGCCTGCAGTCCAGGCTACCTAGGAAGCTAAGGTGTGAGGATCGTTTGAGCCCGGAGATAGAGGCTGCAGAGAGCCAAGACAGAGGCTACAGCAGGCCATGATCATGCCCATGCACGCCACACTGCGTAACAGAGCGAGACCCTGTCTCAAAAAAATTAAAATAAAGTACAGTTAAGAATTATTCTGTAGGCCAGGCGTGGTGGCTCAAGCCTGTAATCCCAGCACTTTGGGAGGCCGAGTTGGGCGGATCACTTGAGGTCAGGGGTTCAAGACCAGCCTGGCCAGCGAGGTGAAACCCTGTCTCTACCAAAAATGCAAAAGTTAGCTAGGCATGATGGCAACTGCCTGTAATCCCAGCTACATGGGAGGCTGAGGCAGGAGTGTTGCTTGAAACTGGGAGGCAGAGGTTGCAGTGAGCTGAGATGGTGCCACTGTACTCCAGCTTGGGCGATGGAGCAAGACTCACTTTCAAAAAAAAAAAAAAAAAATTATTCTGCCAAAAATGTAATTTAAGAGTTCCCTGGATGAACTAGAGAAGAAAAAGACTACCAATAGCTGGCAAGTAATTAGTGTTACGCATTTAATAACCTTAATCAGTAATAAATAATAATTCTTAAAATTTTATACTTGGGTCCAGGCATGGTTGGTCACGCCTATAATCCCAGCACTTTGGAAGGCCAAGGCAGGTGATCACTTGAGGTCAGGAGTTCGAGACCAGGCTAGCCAACATGGTAAACCACATCTCTACTAAAAATCCAAAAATTAGCCAGGCATGGTGGACAGGCACCTATATCCCAGATACTCAGGAGGCTGAGGCAGGAGAATCGTTTGAAATGAGGAGACAGAGGTTGCAGTGAGATGAGATTGCGCCACTGCACTCTAGACTGGGCAACAGTGAGACTCCATGTCAAAAAGAAAAAACTTTAAATTTTGCCTTTCATACCAACAGAACAGTATTTTCTTCCCAAATCAATCAATAAAGAGGGATAAATGTAATAAAATCATAACCGTTCAAAACAAAACCAAAAAACTGGCTCACATTTGTAATCCTAGCACTTTGGGAGGCAAAGATGGGCAGATTGCCTGAGCTCATGAGTTCAAGACCAGCCTGGGCAACATGATGAAACCCCATCTCTACTAAAATACAAAAAAAAAAAAAAAAAAAATCAGACAGGTATGGTGGCAGGTGCCTGTAATACCAGCTATGTGGGAGGCTGAGGCATGACAACTGCTTAAACCCAGGAGATGGAGGTTGTAGTGAGCCAAGACCATGCCACTGTACTCTAGTTTGGGCAACAAAGTGAAATTCTGTGGTGTCCTTTGCAGGGACATGGATGAAGCTGGAAAACTACCATTCTTAGCAAACTGACACAAAAACAGAAAACCAAATACCACATGCTCTCACTCATAAGTGGGTGTTGAACAATGAGAATACATGAACACAGGGAGGGGAACATCACACACCCGGGCCTGTCCAGGGATCGGGGACTCGGGGAGTGATAGCAGGGGATGGGGGAATTGGGGAGGAATAGCATTAGGAGAAATACCTAACATAGATGATGGGGTGATGGATGCAGCAAACCACCATGGCACCTGTATACCTATGAAACAAACCTGCATGTTCTGCACGTGTATCCCAGAACGTAAAGTATAATAAACAAATAAATAAATAAAATAATAATAGTGTGTTATACAGCAATAGAAGACTAAACGAGTCCTTTATTTTTAATCAAAGATAAATGGTTAAAATAAAATTTTTTAAAAAGTGGAACACTGTCTCCACTAAAAAAAATAGAAGAACTAAGATTTAAACCAAAGGTAAACAAGTAATACTACTAACATTTGTAAGGTTTGGTCTCTTTCCAATGAACAAATGTGATGGGTTTATTTTACCTTAATTTCTATCCTTGCTCTGTGAGGGAAAAGCTGTCCGATCATAGAAAAGTCAGTTCCCACCATGCTGATGGCTAAAAAAAACATATCTGTTTCTGTGAAAACAAAAGATTTAGAATGACTGAAAATTAATCCTCTCAATATTTCAGAAAAAATAAATCTTACAAAATTTGACAGTAGTTAATTTGACTGGAAAGATCACCATGGAATACCTAAAAACACCTTTTAAATAAAAACTTTTCAGTATAAGAAATCATATGCAGACATGGCAGCTCACACCTATAATCCCAGCACTTTGGGAAGCCAAGGGAGTGCAAATCATTTGAGGTCAAGAGCTCAAGACCAGTCAGGCCAACTTGGCGAAACCTCGTCTCTACTAAAAATTAAAAATAAAATGAGCCAGGCATGGTGATGTGCACCTGTAATCCCAGCTACTAGGGAGGCTGAGGCAGGAGAATAGCTTGAACCCGGGAGGCAGAGGTTGCAGTGAGCTGAGATGGCGCCACTGCACTCCAGCCTGGACGACAGAGTTAGACTCCACCTCAAAAAAGACAGACGAAAGAGGAAAGGGCAGGGGCAGGGGCAGGGGCAGGGGCAGGGGCAGGGGCGGAAAGGAAAGGGGAGAAACGGGAAAAGAGGAAAGGGAAAACGAAAAAGGGAGAGGGGAAAGAAAAGAGACCATATAAAAGCAGCGTAATTCTTTTTTTAAGACATTCATTCTGCCTTGCTGATTTATTCAAAGTGCCCTGAAGAAAACTGTGAGTCATAGTCAGGATAAGGTTACACTATGTAAGCAACTAAAATGTGCTTAGTATATAAAGAAGGTAGCTAGAAAACCACACAAGAGGCCAGGCACAGTGGCTCACACTTGTAATCCCAACACTTTGGGAGGCCAAGGCAGGCAGATCACTTGAGGTCAGGAGTTTGAGACCATCCTGGTCAACATGGTGAAACCCCATCTCTACCAAAAATACAAAAATTGGCTGGGCGCGGTGACACATGCCTGTAATCCCAGCTACCCAGGAGGCTGAAGAAGGAGAATAGTTTGAACCTGGGAGGCGGAAGTTGCGATGAGCCGAGATCATGCCACTGCACTCCACCCTGGGTGACAGGGCAAAACTCCGTCTCAAAAAAAGAAACCATTAACAGAAGTTACACCTCAGAAGAATAGGAACAGGAAAGTCAAAGAAGGGAAGTATAGAGTCTTTCTTTATACTCTGCTGTTTGAATTTTTCCCCAAAACTACTGTTTTTAAAATAAAAATAGTAAGCACCAGCATGCAACAGATTTTTAACAGCATACTATTTATCTAAAGATTTTATTATACAATTTTATTTGAGGTAGAACATTAGGAGTATTACAAATACTCTATTGTTATCTGCAAAATGGGGTTAAAAAAAAAGGAATAGTCTATTGTTAATTTTTACTTAATTGGTATTTGTTGTACAGGGATTTGACAGAGAGAAAGATTCCAGCCAAAATGACTATAAAGTTAATTCTTTAAAAAGATTTCTTTCAGCAGAATAGTGACTAAAAGAAACTTAAAAAATAAAAATAAAAAAGAACAGAAAAAAATATATTTCAGGGCCATGCACAGTGGCTTACGCCTGTAATCCCAACACTTTGGGAGGTGAAGGCATGAGATCACTTGAGCCCAGGCGTTGGAGACCAGCCTGGGCAACATTTTGAGACCTCATTTCTACAAAAAAATCCAAAAAACAGGCCTGGCACAGTGGCTGACGCCTGTAATCCCAGCACTTTGGGAGGCTAAGGTGGGTGGATTACCTGAGGTCAGGAATTTAAGACCAGCCTGGCCAACAAAGTGAAACCCCGTCTCTACTAAAAATACAAAAATTAGCTGGGCATGGTGGTGGGTGCCTGTAATCTTAATTACTCGAGAAGCTGAGGCAGGAGAATTGCTTGAACCTCGGAGGTGGAGGTTGCAGTGAGCAGATATCGTGCCATTGCACTCCAGCCTGGGCAACAAGAGCAAAACACCACCTCAAAAAAAAAAAGAAAAAAGAATTCCAAAAAATTAGTGGGTGTGGTGGCACATACCTATAGTGCCACCTACTCTGGAAGGCTGAGACATGAAGATCACATGAGCCCAGGAGTTCAAGGTTGCAGTAAGCTATGATCGTTCTACTGCACTCCAGCCTTGGCAATCAAGACCCTATCTCTACTTTCTAGGTTTATTTTTCTGAATTTTTTTTGTAAAAATGAGGTCTTGCTTTATTGCCCAGGCTTGTCTCAAACTCCTGGCCTCTAGTGATCCTCCTACCTCAAAGTCAGAGATACCGTTCCATGGAGGGCATAAGATATAGGTGTTAGGCTGAGCGTGGTGACTCATGCCTGTAATCCCAGCACTTTGGGAGGCTGAGGCAGGTGGTTCACTTGAGGCCAGGAGTTCGAGACTAGCCTGGCCAACATGGTGAAACCCTGTCTTAGAAAAAAAGAAATTAAATTTTTTATTGTATTATTTTTTAAATTTTTTAAAAATTAAAAAAAAAAAAGATATAAGTGTTAATAAAATTAGCTGGAATAAAATGGTAGTTTGCATTTTGTTTACTTAGGGGATACCTGATTTAATTCAAAAACAGTCACTTCATTTCAAATAAATAATTTACACACTTTTAAATGAAAATTAGTTACCTTTATTTGACCATGGTTTAGAGTAATAGTTTTTCCTAAAGCTGGAGTATGTAGTTGTAGAACCACGCTCAAATATGGGGTCATTTTCTTCAACAACACAAGGGCCTTTTGTTCTTAAAACTTCTACAGTTAAACTGAAATAAACACATTTTTAAATAGATCTATACTAAAAACGAGTAAGGAAACAAATAGTAAATGAGATTTAAATAATTATACTTTGAAGTTTAGCATGGCAATCATATCAAAAGCACAATATTTATGTGAAATACAGGTATTTTCCAAGCACCTACTAAGTTTTACTTTTAAACGTGATTCCAAGAGGGCAGAAAGAAATGCCAACTCATTTTCAAAATCCATAACAGCAACATAATATTTAAAAAATATCTTTGGGCTACCTATTACAAAAAAGTATTATTGACTTCCACACGTCTTTCATATTCAGTATGTATTACTGTGCTGGACTCAATGGAAATTTTGAAAAACAGAAGCACTTTATGTCTTACATTCCTGCAGACAAAGCAGTTAAATATGCTTTTAGCTATTTAATGACCAGTAAAATCATCATCACAAACTAATGGAAAACAGCCCACAAAAACAACTATTATTAGCAGTATTAATGCTTAATTATAGAACGTAAATGTAAAATTATTTTTCACTAACTAAACTCTCAAAAGGCCTTCCAACACTCTATTTATTTACTTACTAATTTATCATCTTTAAAAAAAAAAAAATACCCTAGCCGGGCACGATGGCTCACACCTGTAAGCCCAGCACGTTGGGAGCCCGAGGCAGGCAGATCACGAGATCAGGAGATCGAGACTATCCTGGCCAACATGATAAAATCTTGTCTCTACTAAAAATACAAAAATGAGCCGGGCGTGGTGTTGTGCACCTGTAATCCCAGTTAGTAGTAAGGCTGAGGCAGCGGAATCACTTGAACCCCGGGGGCGGAGGTTGCAGTGAGCCCAGGTCATGCCACTGCACTTCAGCCTGGAGACAGAGCGAGACTCCAAAAAAAAAAAACCTTAAAAAAGACAACAAATTCCAAATTCCACAATGCACAATGTGAGAAATTTAATGTTATAACTGAGAAATTAAACCAGAAAATGAATTAAACATCACCGTAACAAAAATCACAAAATATGTTAAACCCACATTTTATTGCATATTCATGAGTTATTACCACACATCAGGATATGCTCTTAACAATATGAGAACTTGAATACTGACTTCAAGACTGTACCAATCTTAGAAATTTATCCTCAGTGGAAGATAGCATAAGATTAGTTCAATAGCTTGACTCAATGACCAGCAAAGATGACAAAACAACGGTGTTAGGTTAATAGATGATAGGTCATCTTCTCATATAAAATAGAGTTATAAAAATTACTAAAATTGGGTGGGAGGGGAGAGAAAAAAATTACTAAAATTTATAAATTAATCTCACACATTTTTCTATTTGTAATATTCATTATGCAAATATAAACAACAAGGTCTAAGTGACAAAGGCCAATATAGAAAGAGGATCTCTCTCACTGGACAAAGCATGTTTGTTCTCATGAAAGCACAATCTCACATTCTCTTTTTAAAATACCTTTCTTCATCCAAAATAATAGAACCATCTTCCGCCACTTTTACTCGAGGAACCAGTAATGCTCCATCATCTGTCTCTTCTTCCATTTCATTATCTTCAGCATTAGGAGTTCTCTTACCTTCTTGCCTACCAAATATAAAGATAAGTTAATTCATATAGGCAGGAGAAGTTATTTCTTGAATAGTATAAAATTTAAATAAATGATTACAAACTCAACATTCTAGCTATTTCCAACTTTCCCTATAATCTAAATGAAAACAGTATGAGTTGTTAAGGACACAACTATAGGATTTTCTCAAGTTTTATCTGGAGGCACTTAGTAAAAAGTCATTAATCTCTTTTAAAATAAAGAGAGGGCCGGGCGCGGTGGCTCACACCTGTAATCCCAGCACCTTGGGAGGCCGAGGCGGGTGGATCACGAGGTCAAGAGATCGAAACCATCCTGGTCAACATGGTGAAACCCCGTCTCTACTAAAACTACAAAAAAAAATTAGCTGGGCATGGTGGCACGTGCCTGTAATCCCAGCTACTCAGGAGGCTGAGGCAGGAGAATTGCCTGAACCCAGGAGGCGGAGGTTGCGGTGAGCCGAGATCGCGCCATTGCACTCCAGCCTGGGTAACAAGAGCGAAACTCCGCCTCAAAAAAAAAAAAAAATAAAATAAAATAAAATAAAGAGAAACAGGCAGGGCATGGTGGTTCATGCCTGTAATCCTAGCACTTTTGGAGGCCAAGGCAGGAAGTTCACTTGAGGCCAGGAATTGAGATCAGCCTGGGCAACATAGCAAGACCCTACCTCTACAAAAAAATTTAAAAATTAGCCCAACACGGTGATATATGCCTGCAGTCCCAGCTTCTCAGAGGCTGAGGCAGGAGTATCTTTTGAGGCTAATATTTTAATCACAGCCCTGCACCCCAGCCTGGGAGACTGTCCAAGACCCTATCTGTAAAATAATAATAATGATTATAGTTATATAGCATTAGTTTCTACATTATTTGACAACATTTCAGTACAATCCTTCAAGGTATTTTCATACTTATTTGAGCCTTAAGGAAAACAGACAGATGCAGCAGCTCACGCCTGTAATCCTAGCACATTTGGAGGCTGAGGCAGGAGGATTACTTGAGCTTAAGTTCAAGACCACCAGCCTGGGCAACATAGTAAAACTTTATGGAAAAAAACTCTTCAAAAATTAAAAAGTTTAGCCAAGCGTGGTGGCACACACCTGTACTACCAGCTACTCAGGAGGCTGAGGCAGGAGGATCACTTGAGCCCAGGAGGTCAGGGCTGCAGCAAGCTGTGTTCACACCACTGCACTCCAGCCTGCGTGACATAGCAACACCCTGTCTCAAAAATTAAATTGAATTTTTAAAATTACAAAAACAGAAGTCCAACCAAATGTAATTTTTTTTGTTTTTGTTTTTTGAAACGGAGTTTTGCTCTTGTTGTCCAGGCTAGAGAGCAATGGCACAATCTTGGCTCACTGCAACCTCTGCCGCCTGGGTTCAAGCGATTCTCTTGCCTCAGCCTTCCCAGTAGCTGAGATTACAAGCATTTGCCACCACACCTGGCTAATGTTATATTTTTAGTAGAGACGGGGTTTCTCCACGTTGGTCAGATTGGTCTTGAACTCCTGACCTCGTGATCCACCCGCTTCAGCCTCCCAAAGTGCTTGGATTACAGGTGTGAGCCACTGCGCCCATCCCAAATGTAATTTTTTTTAAGAGACAAGCTCTTGCTCTGTCACCCAGGCTGGAATGCACCAGCATGATCATAGTTCACTACAGCCTTGAATATGTGGGCTGAAGCGATCCTCCCACCTCAGCCTCCTGAATAACTACTACTGTTTTTATTAAAAGGCAGGGCATTATAAGTACATGCCACCATGTGCAGCTAATCTTAACATTTTTTGTAGAGACAAAATGTCACTATGATGCCCAGGCTGGTCTTAACTCCTGACTTCAGGCAATCCTCCTATCTTGGCTTCCCAAAGTGCTGAGATTACAGGTGTGAACCACTGTGCCCGACCCCAATCAAATGTAATCCAACCATAACAGGAAACACCATTTGATTCCATTTTTTTTTAATGTAGCAATAGAATATATTCAAAAATAAAATAAAATACTTACTCTTTTTTCTGGACTGAAGTCAATGGCTTTTCGGTTTTCTTTTCTGGTTCCAGTGAAGAGCTATTGAACATAAATAACAATATCTTTAATAAATTATTAATTTATATCCTTTTGATTCTATCTGTAGGCAAGAAGAAAATTATTTTAATGGTTTTTTTTTTGAGATGCAGTCTCACTCTGTCACCCAGGCTGGAGTGCAATGGCGTGATCTCAGCTCACTGCAACCTCTGTCCCCCGGGTTCAAGCAATTCTCCTGCCTCAGCCTCCCCAGTAGCTGCGATTACAGGCACCTGCTATTGTGCCTGACTAATTTTTATATTTTTATTAGAGACAGGGTTTCACCATCTTGGTCAGGGTGGTCTTGAACTGCTGACCTCATGATCCACCCACCTCGGCCTCTCAAAGTACTGAGATTACAGGCGTGAGCCACCATACCTGGCCTCTAACTTCTATTTTTTAATGATATACCACAGCATTTTGTTAATGACAGTGCAATCCAACAATGAATTTTTCAGTCAAAAGCTTGTCATCAAGTACAGCTAATTTGTTAGGTCCTAAGTAGGGAATATTTTTTTTTAAAATACAACAACAGTGTCTTGCTGTGTCACCCAGGCTGACGTGCAGTGGTGTGATCTCAGCTCACTGCAACCTCTACTTCTTGGGGTCAAGCAAACCACCCAAATCAGCCTCCCAAGTAGGTTGGACTATAGGTATGTGCTACTACACCAGGCTAATTCCTGTCTTTTAATTTTCTGCAGAGATGAGATCTCACCATATCGCTCAGACTGGTCTCAAACTCCTGGGATCATGCAATTGTCCCACCTTAGCCTCCCCAAATGCTGGGATTACAGACATGAGCCACCACACCCAGCAGAGAATAGGAGGCTCCCAGTCCCGAAGCATGAAGCAACCTAGGTGTCTTGTCTCCAACTCCCAGATGTTAACTCAAAACCTAGGCTTCTGGCCCTTTCTTCAACAGGGCCAAAGACCTAGTGAATCTGAAAAAAGGCTATGGTGAAGAACTGGACCTAATGCCCACCCCTACCTGCTAAACCATCAACAATACAACGAGATTATAAACCTTCTACCTCCCAGGCTTTTTTTTTTTTTTTTTTTTTTTTGAGACAGAGTCTCGTTCTTTCGCCAGGCTGGAGTGCAGTGGCTCGATCTTGGCTCACTGCAACCTCCGCCTCCCAGGTTCAAACGATTCTCCTGCCTCAGCCTCCTAAGTAGCTGGGATTATAGGTGTCAGCCACCACGCCCAGCTAATTTTTGTATTTTTAGTAGAGAAGCTTTGTTCTTGGATGATTTATTAATCAAACTACTAATGTTTATTAGAAGGCAGGGCATAAAACTTAAATCACTCCTTTACACCAGGTTATAGATGTTAGAAACAGAAATTGCAATCCGTTCAAACTTTTTTTTTTAAATGAGACAGAGTCTCGCTGTCTCCCAGGCTGGAGTGCTGTGGTGCAATCTTGGCTCACTGCCACCTTGAATTCCCAGGCTCAAGTGATCCTCCCACCTCAGCCTCCTGTGCACCACAACGCCCAGCTAATTTTTGTATTTTTTTGTAGAGATGGGGTCTCACTACATTGCCCAGGCTAGTCTCAAATTCCTGGGCTCAAGCAATCCTCTCCTCTTGGCCTCCCAAAACGCTGCGATTACAGGTATGAGTTATCTCGCCTGGCAAAAATTGCAATCTTGATTACAAAAAAGTTGCTTAGTTGGTTTTACTACACCTTAGTAATTAATGTAATGAAGCATAAGAAAGGAAACTTTTTTTTTTGAGACAAGATCTCACTGTCACCCAAACTAGAGTACAGTGGCATGAACATGGTTTACTGCAGCCTCAACCGCCAGGGCTCAGGCAGTCTTCCTGCCTTAGTCTCCCAAACAGCTGGAACCAAAGTCACATGCCACCATGCCTGGCCAATTTTTGTATTTTTTGTAGAGACAGGGATTCACCATGTTGCCCCAGCTAGTCTCAAGTTCCTGGACTCAAGCAGCCCACCTGCCTTGGTCTCCTAAAGTGCTGGGATTACAGGTATGAGCCACTGTGCCCAGCCAGGAAATTTATTTTTAATCCCAGAAATAAAGGGCATAATTTACCATTTCTAGAAAGTAGTCACTTGAAATCCTGCAAATTTTGTTATAAAATTCTATTTAAAAGGACATCATATATGTTCTAAATTTTGTCAACGTGCTTTTGGAAAACAAAAAACTGTACTCTAAAAATGGTATTTATATCACTATATACCCAAAGAAAGTAAAAGGCCAGGCACAATGGCTCACGCCTGTAATCTCAGCACTTTGGAAGGCCAAAGTGGGTGGATCACCTAAGGTCAGGAGTTGAAACCTGACTAGCCAACATGGTGAAACCCCCATCTCTACTAAAAATACAAAAATTAGCCAGGCATGCTGGATGGCACCTGTAATCCCAGCTACTTGGGAAGCTGAGGCGGGAGAATCGCTTGAACCTGGGAGGCAGGGATTGCAGTGACCCGAGACTGTGCCACTGTAATGGAATACAGTCTGGGTGACAGAGCGAGACTCCACCTCCAAACAGAAAAAGGAGATAGTAAAGCAGAAATAAATTTTACTTACGTCATTGGATTATTATCTGGTAGATAATATATGAAGTCTCTCATAGTCATTTTTGAACGATCCAGTGGCCTCTGGCTTTCATTTACAGCATATTTGTTTTTCCATTGTTTCTGTATATATAAAAACACACAGATCCACTTTTATAAATACTAAAGAATTTCAGATGTACTATATGCAAATATACAGTCCACTGTTGCATTCACCATAAGTGCTTTAATATTATTCTTACCCCAATTATGTAATTTTGCAGATGGAATATTAAAAAGTTGTAGCACATTACCCTTAATAGTTTTGAGGTTTTATATATGTATTTTTGAGAGGGCGTCTTGTCCAGGCAAGAGTGCAGTGGTGCAGTCATAGCTCACTGCAGCCTGGAACTCCTGAGCTCAAGTGGTCCTGCCACCTCAGCCTCCCAAGTAACTACAGATTCTTGCCACAACAACTGGCTAATTTTGTGGGGTTTTTTTTTTCTTTTTCTTTTTTTTTTTTTTAAGAGACATCCTGCTCAGGAAATGTGGGGGGGTCTTTTGTTTTTGTGTTTTTGGGTAGAGATGGAGTCTCCTATGTTGCCCAGGCTGGTCTCAAATTCCTGGGCTCAAGTGATCCTCCTACCTCAGCCTCCTTAAGCACTGCAATTACAGGGTGAACCACGTACCCAGCCAGTATTTACTTTTTAACAATTAAAGTGACTAAGACTAGACAAAAGCTCAGTGCAACCAGGCATGGTGGCTCATGCCTATAATTCCAGCACTTAGAGAGGCCAAAGCAGGAGGATCACTTGAGCTCAGGAGTTACCAGCCTGGGCAACGTAGTGAGACCTTGTCTCAAAACTAAATATATAAATAATAAACGAATAAAACTAATAAAGCTCAATGTATAAAATGCTTACTGACGCCTTCTAACTAAACATCTTAATACCTCACTGAGAATTTGTGCTTACACAGTTTTCTTTTTCAACCCTGTAGTGAATTGAAATTCCATGTTTTATAAAATTCTTGAAGCAAATGTTTAATCCTTAATCCCCCAAAATAAATTAAATAAGCATTTTCTATAAAACATAGAACCTTTTTAAAATTAAATTACGCAAGGTCACATAGCTAGTAAAGAAATGAAGCTACAGCAGGCACGGTGACTCACGCCTGTAATCCCAGCACTTTGGGAGGCCAAAGCAGGTAGAAGAGGTCAGGAGTTCAAGACCAGCCTGGCCAATAAGGCAAAATGCTGTCCCTACTAAAAATACAAAAATTAGCCAGACATGGTGGTCGGCGCCTGTAATCCCAGCTACTCAGGAGGCCGAGGCAGGGAGAATCACTTGAACCCAGGAGGCAGAGGTTGCAGTGGGCTGAGATCACACCATTGCACTCCAGCCTGGGTGACAGAGTTTCACTGTCTCAAAAAAGAAGAAAAGAAATGAAGCTGAGAGTCAATCCTTAAGTATTTAACTCTAGGGCTGGCATGCTCTACTACTGTTACCTGCCCTTCTAGAAAAAAAATCAATCCTCAAGACTGAAAAGAACATGGACTCTACTATATGCATACCACAAATTTTTCCCACTTGTAATTTTCCATATTTGTCAATTTAGAAAACATTATTAATTCATTTTGCTCAACTATATTTGTCTTTTCTTTTTTTTTCCCCCCCAGAGACAGTTTCACTCTATTACCCAGGCTGGAGTACAGAGGCACAATTTCGACTCACTGCAACCTCTGCCTCCCAGGTTCAAGCAATTCTCATGACTCAAACTCCCCAGTAGTTAGGATTACAAGTGTGCACCACCATGCCCAGCTAATTTTTGTATTTTTAGTAGAGATTGGGTTTTGCCATGTTGGCCAGGCTGGTCTTGAACTCCTTACCTCAAGTGATCCGCCTGCCTCGGCCTCCCAAAGTGCTGGGATTACAGGTGTGAGCCAACATGCCCAGCCTATACTTGTCTTAATTCAAAAATACATCACTTGTTACTTGGACATCTTTCTATGAAAAGTCTGGTTGAAGGCTTATTTTATAAATGTTTGTGTATGTATATCTGTGTGTATGTACATAAAACTTATCTGAGGCCTCTACCAAAAACAGTGAAAACATAAATAAATAAAATATGTAAAAATTACACTCAGTGACAATGTAGTTTAAGTCCATGGTACATCAGTCATCCCTTAACAAGAGGGGATTTTGTACTGACTAAGGCATGTTACGTGGTTTTGTTCCCCCTTCAAAATGCCACAGATGTTTTTCTTTCAAATGATTCCTTTTTTTTTTTCTAATTTTTATTTTATTTTATTTATTTATTTTTTTTTTTAAAAGATGGGGTTTCACCATATTGGTCAGGCTGGTCTCGAACTCCTGACCTCAGCTGATCCACCCACCTCAGCCTCCCAAAGTGCTGGGATTACAGGCGTGAGCCACCGCACCCGGCAAATGATTCCTTACGAACATAAACAGAAATCCAGCAGGCAACATCAAAATCCTGATTCTCCTCCCTTACCTTCTCTTTTCTCAATTCTTCTTTTAACATTTCCCTCAGTTTCTGGGCTTTGTATATTCGGTATCTGTCTGAGCACGGCTGTTTCTCTTTTGTTGGAGTGGCAATTGGCTGTGGAGCTGCTTGATTAACAGGAGATAAGGGATGGGATTCTGAAGAAACACTGACGCTAGACTTAACCAGAGGAGAAGTACTTGATATTCGCTTTCTTCTCTGTGAAACAGTAGAAGAAGATTTACTGGATTCTTTAACATCATTGTCACTAGCAGTCTTTTCAGTACTGTTGAAATTAAAAAGAAAAAAGAGGGTACCATGAATCTGCTGTTATACATGCTAGTTTTAAAACATAGTCTGCTAAAAATCCAAAACTGTAATCTCATAATTTAAAAAAATCAGTAACTTGAGATTTATGTTAATTGTGACAGGTTACAAAAAAATATTTGTTTAGTAAATCTTTTAAATATATGCAAATTCTAACAGACTCTTAATCTTTTTCAAACATAAAAGTCCCTAAGCACATTAGAGCACATAATTACAGGTTTAGCTCCCTCAAAACAAAAAGTAACCAACTTACAGAACAAACCTTAATCAGCCTAATTTGTATTACTAAGTAACAGAGTTTTTAAAGTAATAATTTATAATTAATTTATATATAAAATTAAAAATTTATAATTCACTCTGACATCTTACACTGGTCTAAACTATCAGCATTTTACTTATCAACCTGAGGTCAGTCAAATCAAATATGCAAAACTTCAAACCTCTGAAATACCTGTATTGCAGTATTTGAAGAAAAACATTTAGTTACAATAGTCAAACCAAATTCCCTTTAAGGCAGAAATCATTTTATCTTTTGTCAGGTACAACTCTACTTACACAGCCATCAAAAGAAACTCTTCAGTCAAAAAAAGTACTCAGTCACCCCAAATTGTATATTAGGTATGGTACACCTCAGATATAAATATTTCAGGAATGGTCTGTAAAGGTGACTAAGTCAAAAAAAGAGGTGGTATAAGTCACTAATTAAAAATAATCTGCTTTTTTCATATCTTACAGTTATTTGTAAAAAATTAGAAAATGCCTTAACTTACAGAATAACCTTTGCAGGAAGACTTCTATTTAAATTTTTATCTTAGCTATTATGACAATGTGATACATGCATTATTTGCATTTCACCCAATTATGTTGAATGCATAATGACAGAATATATATCTATAGATTTTTACAACTAGTAAAAACCCACAAAGAAATTTTAAAAGGCCGAGCACAGTGGCTCATGCCTGTAATCCCAGCACTCTGGGATGAGGCAGGTAAATCACTTGAGGTTGGGAGTCTGAGTTCAGCCTGGCAAACATGATGAAACCCATCTCTACTGAAAATACAAAAATTAGCTCAGCATGATGGAGCATGCCTGTAGTCCCAGATACTGGGAAGCTGAGGCAGGAGAACTGCATAAACCCAGAAGGTGGAAGTTGCAGTAAGCCAAGATTGCACCACTGCACTCAAGCCTGGGCAACAGAGTAAGACTCCATCTTGAAGAAAAAAAAATTTTTTTTTAAATGGGAAAACAAAAAAGAAAACACTTCCACAGAGTCAGTAATGGTTAAAAAAAACCACATGACGAAAAAATAAATTATATTCCCCAAATGTAAATGTCAACTCTTAAAAAAAATTAAATATACTTGACCATAAATGTCTCTAAACTATAATATTTAAGCAATTTATTAAATTATCTACCATCATGCACTCATACCTAATTAATGAAATCTCTTAGAACTTTATTAATTTAACAGCAACTAGTATTGGTGTCTCCATTCTGGTATAAAATTTTTAAAACAGATTCATGTAAGAAACTTGGAAATTACTAAGCATCACCGAGGTATCAACATTACACACTACACTCAGCCCCAGTACAGGCCAATAGAGGAAGATGTGCCAAAAATAAAAAAATTTTTCACCTTCCTACCACAGCATAAACAGAATTTGTACCATCTCACTCTCATTTAAGGTTGTTTACTGATTTCTTCATATATACAGAAAGAGAGGCCATCTTAGCCTAACATGTCTTAAATTTACTCCATCACCTTTTTAAAAAGCTAATAATCTTTTGTGGGCAGCTAATCTGCCATATCCCCTGTAAGATAGTTTACATGAGTTATCTCCAATCTCCACCAAAACGCTCAAAGTAGGCAATATTATTCTCATTTTGCAGATGAGTAAATGCTGCCTGAGAAAAGTCTACCTTTAGACTAAAAGAGTCCTGAATCCAAATATGATACATGACGCTAAAGCCATGCTTCTCTATTCGGGAAACATGGTCACCATAGTTAAAGGGGCACACTTCAATCAAGTAACTAGAACTCTTACTCACTGACATAAGTCAGCAGAGCCAAAACAATACTTATCTTCTCCTTTTAAAAATAAATATTTTATAAACTGAAAAACAAAAACACTTCCCTGCAAAGCACTCCAGAAGGATGAAAACTATGGTGACTAAATTCTCAAATGAATAGTGTGGATATTCTTCACTTCCGGACTGCCATATCCCGATTGTCCCCTCCACCACTCGAAGACATGATTTCTCCTTTTGGAGAATCTACAGACCGTGACAAAATCCACGCAAGCCACACTCTGCAGGTCAGATAACCAAACTGCAGTTTGGAATCGTTTCATACTGCAATCGAGAGCTGACTCCTGTGATAAAATTCATTGCTCAGCTTCCAGATGACAGGCCCGGAGAGGCAGGGCAAATGAAAATTCTTCCCTCTACAAGCTCTTACCTGATCCTAGGAGCCTTTTCTTGGGGCTCCGCTCCATCGAAATGGACGGCGGACACATCTTTGGGCTCCGGTGGCTTAGAAGAGGAGTCCGTGGCAGGTTCCGGCGGCCTGGGAGACTCCTGCCCACGCTGGGGATTGGGCGCGGCGGAGCCCCTGGCGCCCACACCAGGCCTGACATTCGGCTTCACGCTAAGGCGTGCCCTGCGGAACATGGCGGAGCCAGGGGGCCCGGGGAGGCAGCCTGACGGCCGCTCACAACCCCGAGCCCCGGCGGCTGCCCGGAAAGGGGGTTAGGAACTACGCCCTCCCCACAAAGCCCCACCACCAGCCCAGCGGGCAGCTACCGCAGTTTCACTCCCCCGCCGCCACCTCCTCCTCTCTCCCGCCGCCGCCGCTTTTTCATGACCCTGCCACACACTGACGGCCAAATTTCTCTCTCCTCCCAGCTCCCCCGCCCTTACAGGGCGCCGGAACTGATCGCGCCATCAGCCAGCGCCGCGGAATGACGTCAGACGCATAGCACTGGGAGCCATGGTAACTACCAAGCTACCGAGACTGGGTTATCTGCGGATCAGAAATTGAGATGCAGAGACCTGTGCTCTTTATTCTCTAGGACTCCTTAGGAGTAGTTGAAAAGAAGAAAGTCGACTTTTCAGCTCAAACCTTTACTGGAACTATTAAAATCGCTGGCCGATTTTGTTTTTAGAGGTCCCGAAGGGCTTAGAAATTCTAAATTGAGTAGACAGATTAGAAATGCTGGTGTGAAGAAACTGATAATGCTTACTTCCTAGGAGAGGAATTGAGTTTCTGGGAAACACGTCGTGGTAGAAAGATCATGTATTGTACGCCCTTGTGTACTTTTTTGTTTTTTTATTTTGAGACAGGGTCTCGCTCTGTCGCCTAGACTGGAGTGGTGCAGTAGGGCAATCTTGGCTGACTGCAGCCTCCACCTACAGGGCTCAAGCGATCCTTCCGTCTCAGCCTTCTAAGTAGCTGGGACCACAGGCACGCACCACCACACCCGGCTAATTTTTTTTCTTTTTTTGTATATTTATTAGAGACAGGGTTCATTATGTTGCCGACGCTAGTCTTGAACTCCTGGGCTCAAGCGCTCCACCCGGTTTGGCCTCCCAAAGTGCTGGGACTACAGGCGTGAGCCACCACGCTTGGCCTCCTTGTGTACTTTTTAATATGAATGTATCACCTGAGATTGTGCCACTGCACGCCAGCCTGTTTAAAAATTATTATAGTTGAAACTTTGTAAATTATTTTGAGTATTCTTTTTTTTTTTTTTTTTTTTTTTGAGTTGGTGTCTTGTTCTGTCATCCAGGCTGGAGTGCATCGGTGCGATCTCTGCTCACTGCAACCTCCACCTCCCAGGTTCAAGCGATTCTCCTGCCTCAGCCCCCCGAGTACCTGGGACTACAAGTGCATGTCACCACACCCGGCTAATTTTTTGTATTTTTAGTAGAGATGGGTTTCACCATGTTAGCCAGGATGGTCACAATCTTCTGACCTCGTGATCTGCATGCCTTGGCCTCCCAAAGTGCTTGGATTACAGGCGTGAGCCACCACGCCCGGCCTATTTTGAGTGTTCTTAATCTGCTTCAAGAGATAGCTAAACAAGGTGTTCTGGATTTGAGAGGAGAAAATACAAAAAAAAAAATGAACAAGATATTTTTTAAATGTATCAGACCAGGCACGGTGGCTCATGCCTGTAATTCCAGCACTTTGGGAGGCTAAGGCAGGCAGATTGCTTGAAGTTAGGAATTCGAGACCAGCCTGGCCAATATGGTTAAACCCTGCCTCTACTAAAAATACAAAAAGTAGCCAGGCGCGGTGGCTCACGCCTGTAATCCCAGCAATTTGAGAAGCTGAGGCGGGTGGATCACGAGATCAGGAGATCAAGACCATCCTGGCCAACATGGTGAAACGCCATCTCTACTAAAAATTCAAAAAATTAGCTGAGCATAGTGGCGCACGCCTGTAGTCCCAGCTACTCGGGAGGCTGAAGCAGGAGAATTGCTTGAACCCGGGAGGCAGAGGTTGCAGTGAGCAGAGATGGCGCCATTGCACTCCAGCCTGGGAGACAAGAGGGAGACTCTGTCTCAAAAAAAAAAAAAAAGAGAGAAAAAAGACTATGAAGAAAATGAAGGTCTGGAGGTCAGGCATAGCTCATGTCTGTAATCCCAGCATTTTGGTAGGCCAAGGCAGGTGAATCACTTGAACCCAAGAGTTCAGGACCAGCCTAGCCAACATGGCGAAACCCTATCTCTACCAAAAACACAAAAATTAGCCGAGCATGGTGGCTTGCCCCTGTAGTCCCAGCTATTCAGGAGGCTGAGGTTGGAGAATTGCTTGAACTAAGGAGACCGAAGTTGCAGTAAGCCAAGATCGCACACTGCACTCCAGCCTGGGTGACAAAGTGAGGCCCTGTCTCAAAAAAAAAAAAGGCTGGGTGTGGTGGCTCACACCTGTAATCCCAACACTTTGGGAAGCCAAGGCGGGCAGATCACCTGAGGTCAGGAGTTCGAGACCAGCCTGACCAACATGGAGAAACCCTGTCTCTACTAAAGATACAAAATTAGCTGGGCATGGTAGCACATGCCTATAATCCCAGCTACTTTGGAGGCTGAGGCAGGAGAATTGCTTGAACCCAGGAGGCGGAAGTGGCAGTGAGCTGAGATCGCACCATTGTACTCCAGCCTGGGCAAAAAGAACGAAACTCCATTAAAAAAAAAAAAAAAAGGAAGAAAGAAAGAAAAGGTCTGTGAGTTCTGTGGGCTCCCTGAAATACTCTGGAAAAGGAACAGGATCTCAGTTTTAACTAAAGAAGCTCAAGAATTAGAGAATCCCCTGCTAAAGATGTCTCAGGAATGTTGGAGCCACTGCCAGGACTATCACAGCTTTGAACAGCCTATTCCGATACAAACTGAAGACACAGGGCCTTTCCACAGATGGTCTTCTGTTCTACCTAAAAGACTAGGGCCTTTTCCCAAGCTTTTACAGGTCAGAAAGTATTGACTTAAGATTTAATTTCCCACTAGTAAAGGGATGGGAACAGAATCAGATTAAATTTTATTAAATTTAAAGACATAAGACATTTGTTACACAAGTTTGTGGAGTAAATTCTTAGTGGCATCATAGTAATTTTTAAAGTCTCTACTTTTCTCTGAGAGACACACCTAACACATCTTGTGTAAATGGAGTATATCATGTGTACCCCTACAACTTAAAAACTGCAACATTTTAGCTGCAAAGAAAAATGCTCAATTAGATTAAATTGAGAGCACATACAAAAACAACTATACCCCAATCCCACTCCATTCCTTCTTTAGATAATCTTATCTCTATAAAGAACTGTGCCAGAGACTGGGCACAGTGGCTCATGCTTGTAATCCCAGCATTTTGGGAGTCCGAGGCAGGCCAATCACATGAGGCCAGGAGTTTGAGATCAGCCTGGCCAACAGGGCAAAAAATCGTCTCTACTAAAAATACAAACATTATCCGGAGCAGCGTAGCACATGACTGTAATCCCAGCTACTCTGGGAGGCTGAGGAAACGAAAATCGCTTGAAGCCGGGAGGCCAAGTCTGCAATGAGCAGAGATTGCATCAGTGCACTCCAGCCTGGGCAAGAGTGAGACCTTGTCTCCAAAAACAAAACAAAACACGGTGCCAGAAAGTCAATCTTTTCCCTTTATTCGAGTTACTCAAGAAGAAGTTCACCAAGTGGAAACAGATGTTAGCAGTTTTAAGGAAGACAGGTGGGGTGCAGGTGTAGGAAAGTGATGTGTGCAAGGCTCTCCGAATTTGAAAGAATGACAGTAAGAGCTAACGTATTATTACCGTACGCTGGGGACCTAGTACTTCACATATAATAAGACAGTTAATGAAGGAGGTACAGGTAAGAACGCTTTAACATAACGAAATAGTGTCCAAGTTGACACAGCTACTAATTGGTGGAGCTGGGCTTTCTACCCAGACAGTTCATCTCCAGAGCCCCTCAGTCTTCACTTTCTCCACCTTCTCTAAAATAGAGGATTTTATGAGGTAATAATTGAAGCTTGTTTGTATCTCCTTGAGGATTCGCTATCCTTGTTACTAATGCTTTTATACTGCATAAATTTCAGATCTTCCGAAATAAAAGTTTTTAAAATATAGGGCAATTTGGAGTATCCATGTTTGTAACAATGTTATCTTTTTGTGTCTGTGTGTGTGTAACAATGGAAGAGGAGAAGAAAGTATATGCCAGATGAGCCATAGAAGCATCTCTACAAGTGTTGCCCGCAATGGCAGATGGTCCACAGCTTTTACGTAAGTTCCGAGGTTATTCTGGGCTATTCGGAATCGTGGTAAGACTGCATTCCCGGACGTTTCCCCACCACACAACCCAAGCAGAGTCAGTAACCTAAAATTCGTAAAGCACTGTGGATCGTGACAAGGGCACTGAGATAAACTGGAAAATAAACAGGCCTTAGAGTCCGTCTTAAATTTTATTCTCATATCAATTCCTACGCGTTAAGTCAGTATCTCTTCTGCAAAATGAAAACAATGCAGCCTACCTTGCAGGGATACAGGGCCAACACTGCCTTTCGCAGTTACCCTCAATCTTGTCAGTCCCCATCCAGGCTTCTCTGCCTCCGGAAGGAGATCAATGAAAGCTAACTTTCTTTACCAAAAAGTAAGATATTATAGCGTTTGTTGTCATTTCCTATTAAAAAGAAAAAGGGTGGGAGCTGGTTGAGCCCCTGTGCCTGGCGCACGGTGGGGAAAATCCATACACGCCTATCCTTCCGTCAAACAGAACCCGCTTTCCGGGGTCTCCTGAGGGCGGCTGGCAGGAGGGTTCCGGGCGCTGCCAAGTCTCCAGGAGCTTCGGAGTTCGCGCTGCGGCCCCGCCCCGGCCGCGCACGCGCAGTGACGCGCCGGCCAGGCGGACGGCTGCTGTCGGGCCTCCGTGGGCGGGGCCGCTGGCTGGGCGGGGCCGCTGGCTGAACTGAGCGGAGGCGCCGCCGGGCGGAGGGCCCACGCGGGCTCAGCTCTCCCGGTCGGCAGTGGTGACGGTAGCCCAGCCTGCCGGGGAGCCGTTGGTTTTCCGAGTCCCTGTCTTCTAGGCTCCGTCAGTGGTCGGCATGGCACGTGAGTGTGCGGACGCGGATGGGAAGCGGCGGGGAGCGTCGGGCGAGGTAGCCTAGCGCTCAGGCGCTGCAG